CCCAAAATAAATGTTTGGGCGGAAATGCATAACTCCTGTCGCCGTGCACCTAAAACGACAAAATTTTGCAAGAGTACAGGTGACGTCGTAATGACCTTCACAGACTAGCCTCCGGTGATAGGACAAGCAAAAGTTATTTATACTTAGGGCGCTCAAACTTGCTAGGGATGCAGGCTGTAGGATGAGAATGATGGTGTTTGGTGGCACGAGCTGACTCCGCTCCTGAAGGGCTGGGCGTGCTGGAAAAATCACCAATTTGTTCGTAGGGGGTTTAAATTTGGTAAAAGTACATTTGGCAGGATTAGAACACCGATGGTAGGCAGAAGAAAGTGAGAACTGGATCCCGCTCGCGGTGGTGTAGGTATTATGGTGGAGCTGATAATGCGTGAAATGACTGAACTTGAGTGATACACGCTGTAATGTTGAAGAGGGGAATGAACAATGATAATTCAACACAAGACTTGAGCCGGACTTCGTTCATGCCGGGCACGGCGCGCTCTATCTGTGTCGGCGTGCGTGTGTTTCGATGTTCCAATAGCTCCTATTCTCTTGAGCTTTCAAACTTGTAGAATGTAGGCAGTTGATAAACTTTAACACAAGACGGAGGTGGGTGTCAGCCGGGAGAAATCCGACTGACCCTATCCTCCTACTTATATAATCCGCTGTGTTTCTCCTGCTGTATGTATGTATGTATGTATGTATGTATGTATGTATAGGCCCCCGTTGTAAAGTAGTGCAGCTATCAACTCTACTCCTGCAGGTAAAGGCTCGCTATGAATCTTGGCTGGCAGCTTCACCCATCGAAGTACACACGACTGCTAGACAAATATTAATCTATCCTTCGCTGCTGATCTCTACTCTCTTTTTTTTCGTTGATTACAAAACTGGAGAGGATTTTTGGCTCCAGCTTGTCTACCTGTACTCCACCCCCAGCCCTTCATAAACATTCAACTTCTCTTACCCTGAAAGATCTCACCCAGTTTTTTGCAAACTCTAGAACGTCTTTGGGCGGTGTTAGGATTTCATCACCGAAATACACTCCATACTTATCACCCAAAACTTAGTTCCAAGCTGGTTTCTGTCCACATTTTCTGGACTGTAGAATGTTTCGGGAAACAACTTGGATTCATTGCAGCAATGTTCCCAGTCAAGTGAATACCGCGCATCGCAAGCAACGTTACGGCAATTTTGAGAAAGCTTGGCACGCCATAGATCTTCATCTGATTCTACCATTTTTGGCTCCTCTAGGCCTTCCTGTGATTGAATTATGAATTGATGAAGCATTGAAGTAGGGTTGGAGCAGGTGAGTGTCAGTCGCAGTGAGCGGCGCAAGAGGCGACGCTTCTTACCACGTTTCAGCTCAACTACTGGAGAAAAGGGGCGAAGGAGCAAGCGGTCTCAGCTACGCTTTCTTCCGTTGGTTCGCTGTCGTCCCATCAATCAAATATGCTTGCACACGCTCACAAGGCTGTATAAACAGTCAGCGTGATTTCAGATAACGTCAACTTCTCAACTGGTCGCTTCTCAACTGGTCGTTTGATCAAACCTACATCAGAGACAACTCAATTCTATGAGATGCCCNCCCAAAACAACTCCAAGATAGAAATAACTTCCTACCTGTGCATTTGGAATAATAGCGATTTCCCGAGCCGTGTCCAATGTGCCAGCCATGCTGAATATCATATGCATGATGTGAGAGTTCAGAAGGTTCGCTTTGTCCTCGAGAAGAACCGCTAGCGTCTAGCAAAACAACGACATCTTATCCCAAAAACAAAAACAAAAATAAAAAAAAGAAACAAACCTGGTATGCCCTATTAGCATGCAAAGTCGCTTGCAGATTGCTATTTGATCTTACAGCCGAAACAACTGCTTTGAGACTGGCATACAGGCCTTCCGAATCAGTAGCCATAGCTACAAGGCCGTACAAGCAAGCGTACCCACCCATGGAGTCCAGTAAACGTGGTACGGGACGTGGAATGAATGTTCGCATTCCAAGATACCTTTAATACATATGGTTGGCTAACCCGGCGGCGTCGAAATAACCATTGAAGTAAAAAAATATAGAAGAAAGGAGTAGGATAAAGAAGTGATAAAGAAAACATACTGCAAACCCCGCTCACCCTATGATCACTGCGCCAAATGCTCTGCCAGCACCTGGAGCATGAGCCACTGTATTCGTCATAATTCGCAGAGGTGTGCTATTATCGCTAGATGATATGCCTAGCTGAAAACGGGCACGAATCAATCGTTTGGGAAAAATAATTTTAATTACTAGCAACCTTGATTCTGTCGTCCCGGCTGAGCCGATGAAAAATATGAAAAAATCAGGGCTGCGTCGCTTATATCAAAAAGTTTTGAAATTTGAAACTGCAAGACCTTTTTTGGTAGACTGTTAGATTGGATCTTTGTAACGAATTATAGAGAGTACAATAACCTTTATACCTAGTCTCATTTTGTGCAATCTGTTATCTGCGACCCAGTCTAACCAGGGAAGGATCCCAAGTCGAAGTGGCCATTTGAAATGAAACTTACACTGCTGGACGTGTTTTTGGATGCTGAGTTCGAATCTGCTTCCCAAATTTGCCGAGCGTTCCTGTGAACG